AGTCTTAGAAAGGACGAAAGGGCTTCAAATTTCGAGATGTTATGATTCCCGCCATATAGACGTAGAAGGGGAAGAACGCCACAAACGGGTTTGATGTGTAGAAGTCTGAGGAGAAACACGTTCGGAAACAATTCCTCCCATCTCCTGCGTTTCCCCAGGCCCCCCACCTGAGCTTCAAACACAAGCACTAGAAGCTCAAGCTTAGGCTACAATGTATCAAAGACATACAGATGTTAAAAATATCGCGATGATCGTGGCGGTCCAGCCCATATACTATGTAAAGGAATGAATGAGATCAGGGTCCGTCCCTACTGACGCAACATAAAGCAAGATTAAACCCACCGTGGAGCTTCCAGGTCCCCAATCACCGCGCTGAAAACGTGTCAGCCTTAAGCGCGCCGGCCCTCTTGGCGTTTTACACAGCCAACAACTTCCAAGAAACCAACAGCTGGTGTATCGCGCTGGATCAGACAACAAACTACAACCGCATAGCCACATCGTAATTACCGTCGTACAGGAATTTGCCTTATACGAAGGGAAAACTCTTTGGTTTTGCTCTTTCCCTTCTGATCTTTCGGGTTCTTTATCTTCAATCTCCTATCCGCTCATCTATTCTGTTAGCTGCCAGCATTCGCTTTTGGACATTGTTACCCCTAGGTATCATTCGACAGCACAGTAGAGCGGCCAATCGAACAATCCTCAATCAACGCCATGGCCGTACACGACTACCCGTACAAGAAAGGCGTCAACGTCACCGCCTGGGTTCTCCAGTTCCTCGTCTGCATCATCCTTCTCGGGGCGTCGGCATGGTTATTATGGCTGGTGAACTCGGAGGATGCTCTCGACAATTATAGTGGCCTTTTCACGTATGCAACCCCCACGGTCTCAATTGGTGGCATGGAATAGGGTTGGGTTGGGTTGAGACAAGAGTAGATGAGCTAACATCGGACTGAAACTTTATAGCGTCGCCGCCGGCCTCCAGATCGCCATCGTGCTCGTGAACATCATCATGAACATCATCGAGATCGTCTTGATATCGAAGAAGCGCATGCCAGTGGAGCTGTACCTGTCGAGCGCGTGCATCAAGAGCGCCGTTTGGGGCATCATCTTCATCCTCGACATCGTCTCTCTATCGATCATCTCCATCATCTTGACTTTGATCCTGACGTACGTACTACCACCCACCTGGACCCATTCGCCTGCATGGATACATCTAGCCGAGAAGCCATAAAGTAGCGGACGCGCGTAGCTAATGTTCAAGTAGTGCGACGTCCTTATTGCAGCTCGTCCATGGAGCGATCCTCGTCCACCGCAAGCGACGCGGCACTCTGCGGGGCGGAAAATACGCACCGACTAGCAACCCGGACGCCGGCTTGATGGAAGCCCAGTACGGCGCGCCGCAGGCCGGATACTACAACCCTGGCGTCAGCACCGAGTACAAGTCGTCCTCGCCCGTCGCATCGCCAGTGCCGCCCCAGTACGGGTTCACCGCCCCAGCCTACGCCCCGCAAGCCACCGGCAGTTCGTACGAGCTAGACAGCCGGCCCCAGCATGCTTAGGAGAAGTCGGGGGGTATTATGGACCGCGTTATCTGATCGACGGATTGCATTTCATTGCGGATGCTTGATCTTTTTTTTTTCTTCTCCCCGACTTCGCGCGCTTGTTGGCTTTACTGGGATTGGGTACGGTTGGATCGAACGGGTTTGGGCCACTACTGGACTGTACAATGGGCGGTGATACCTGCATATACGACGTACATAAATTATGAGGATTATCGATAGAGGATCAATACATCGGAAACGGGGGTCTCACCTAAGCCCGTATCAGGTACCAAGGCTCCATGTGTTCATCCACCCGTGAGTCCAGCCATCTCAACGCGTTCGAGTGCTGTCGTTTAGCTGTGCTGGCAGACCGATGGAAATTATTATGATAGTTTCCGTGATTACTGCTTCTGGGCGCTCCTTGATTTTATACAGGTTGATACCTGCTTTAATGGACGCGCGACGTCGCACCATAATTATGTAGGCACCTACACCGAGCTTAACCGAACTCGGACTTCGGCAAGCCGGCAGAGCTCCATGTTGCTCCAACGGGTCCCAAACCGTACATATTGGGTGGGAAGGGGGGCAGAAAAAGCCACGATGGAACCATTCGAAGTCCAAAGGAGAATGACACATTTCTACCAGGTTCTTCAGCAGCTAGAAATGCCAGGCCCTAGCCCAACCAGCCTACGTCACGCTCCTACAGAACTACCGAAGGGACCTTGAGATCAACATATGTACAGGCACAGATCGTAATCACTTTTATTCCCCCTTCAATTCGACAGTGACTGCTCTGATATGAAGCACTGTACGCATTGTAGCATTGTGTTGGTAGGACTTATCATGAATGAGCGGAAATGATAGGGGATAACACTGCATGTCTCAGCCGATATCTACGAGAGACGAGGCACGCGTGTAAGGAGGGCATGGCCACAATGCTGTCTCTCGGCCAATTGAACTGTTCAACCCGCACAGACAGTAGCGCCAATTGCGGGTTGTCGTATCTTTGGTAAGCGTTCTAGATTTGCCTTATATTTATCGACGCGCTTAGAGCTCTCTTATCGGCTATACATATAGAGACGTTACCTAGATGTTAACAGACCTAACCGGACTGACAAGTCATTAATGTTCAGCTCCATGTGCTCAATTGGAACCTGGGGACGGGTACGACTTGTAGGCGCGGCAGAGTTCGCTATTCGCCGTATCACCCCCCGTATTACATAGAGGGCACCGTGGAGAAGTGATTGGCTCTGTGCCATCTGCAAGCCCATCCCCGTTAGCCCAGTTAGAGTATCATGCAGATGAAAAAGGATGAGTGCTTTCTAGAAACCCACATCCAATGGATCGAGCAACGCAAGTGCTGACGACAGGACTGGATGACCACCCGCGGCCGTCAAATCTGCTCCAAGTAGTTCCAATAAGGCAAGTACCACATGCAGTCGTAATGTTTTCCGTGGGGATCTTCATTCAATGGGGGACCCGGCCAACAGCTTCAAGCTTTGTGGCTTGCAGATTTTGGTCTGGCGCCGCGCTGTTTCCAATCAAGGCAAGGGTCCCATACAAGGCCCTACGAAACCTGCTAACGCTCTGGGGGGTTCCAGCCCCCTGTTTACGATATGTGACTGCAGGTGTGCACCCGGTAGAAGCCTATCCATAGCAGCTGGACGTGGGCGTAGAATCCCTCGGGCTCCAGGGGGCTGCCGTTATACCCGCCAACCTGATAAAGGGCGGCCTCCCGTCTCTCCAACGTACAAAAAGACGCCCTCACCGCTCTTGTCCGCAGTCCCAATCCTCTCTGCCATTGTCGCCCATTTTCAGCCCGTCTGTCATTCCCTACTTACCGCACACGCTCTCGAACCCTTTCATCCTCTCAATAACACAAAAACTACCACCAAGATGCCTGCCGTCGAAGAGCCCCAGCAGCAAGCTCCCATGGAAATGACCTCCACCTCTGGCGTCGTTACGCAACAGCCCGTAAGTCATCCATCTGCTCTTCCGCACCTAAAGTCGTAGGTCGTACCGAGGCGTCCAATTGACACGCTTCCGTCTCACGAATAGGCCACCGAGCCCCAACCCCAATTCGGCAACCTGCGCGGTGGTGAAGAAGCCGGCTGCGAGATCTGCTGCGGTCTCTGCGCCTGCGACGAGGGCTGCTGCTAAGTGCGCGGCCGCGACCCTGCCCGGCGCACGAGAAATCTCCCGTAGTGCTGTGAAACGGTTTACCACATCGCAACTCGCACTAGCACATCGATCGAACGACCAGTACCCCGCTTCTCACCACCACGGCGGCGTTGGTCATGCATGGATGTGTCAGCAAGGGAAACTCGGGCGATTTACGTTGGTGTTCGGGATCAAATGAAATAAATATTACTGCTGGCAACAGGCGAGCTCGTCCTGCCTTTCGGTAGCCTTGTCAATAGAAAGCCTTTACGACCAAATTTCATGACTTATCAACGAGTGCCGGTCTGAAGTGAGATGTGAACTGCCCGCCCGCTTTCTTACGTATCATCGTTCTTGGCGTCGCGAGCGCGAGCGTGGTGCTGAGTGATCGAATCCCGACCAATTCGTCGCCTCCCAGCGGCGCCAGTGGTCAGCATCGAGGCTCTGTCCGCTCCCCCGAGGCTAGGAAAGAAGCTATCGACGACAACCACGACGACGAAGGTAAGATGAAGTTCCGCAACCCGTTCTATTTCGGGTCGAAACTTGTCGAAATAAGCATTTGCCTCAATTCTTGGCGATCTCTTGGCGGCGCATGTCCGTCCGCCAAGTTGCTTGTCAAACGGGGACCCTAAATTTCGCCATCGTCCCCGTCATGGCCGTCATTTGTAGCTAAGGTCCTGCTGATCCTCTTGGGAGAAACGCATGCGACTTGTGATTCGCGAACGAGCAACTTGGCGCGGTTCATTCGTCCGATGTTGCACCATTCCGCCCTTACGACTACTGGCATCTGAGACATGCATACTTCATGGGAATACTACGTTCTCAATTTCTATCCTATTTCATATCTAGCCCGACCGGCGGGATCCGTATTCTATTTGCACATTCGTCTCAGGGATTGTGTACAACGAAATGCAATTACCTCAGCTTGAAGCTTGGCGTGTGAAAACGGTGAGACTTGGGCCAAGAAATCTAAGGCTAGAGCTCAGGCCGGGTCTGGACACGTGACAGCCAAGTGAGAACAACTATACTCGGTCGTAGAAGGTCATTGTAGGCCTTGAGTCCCTCGATCGCGGTCTATCCGTGGGCCTGAGAGTGATACTCGGTTGTGGGAACGCTCAGTATATACATAGAATAAGAGCATTCCCGGTCGCGGTTTATCCATGGGCCCTCATTGCTTTCTCCAGCCATGTAAATTAAGCGACCAACTACAGGTGAGCTCCGCACTTAGCCCCAAACGCATATTGCACTTAGAATATAACCCGTAATTTTCGATGGTTTTCATCAATGAATCACCTAAATGGTCACGTGGTGTAATGGTTAGCACTTGGGATTCTGATTCTTGGATCTCATCGAAATCCTAACTCGAAGATTTCCCACAATCTGGGTTCGATTCCCAGCGAGACCTTTCATTTTTTCACCCTCACTGCCATATACTTTTCTTTTTCCCTTTTCCCATCATCAATTTTACGTCCATCTCTAATCGACTATAGAATACGCACGTTGAAGTAAATTTCAAGATCAAATAACTACCTAATCAAGACCAACTAAATGTATCCAAATCCTGGGGATTATCCCGAAATATTCGAATAACTGAATTGCTTAGATGCCTGTCCTCTGTTGCCAGTGTGATTCATTTCTTTTAGCCATATCTCTGGGAGGGTTATAGCATATATATGGACGTTCAATACAGGTATAATACAATTCAGGCATAGTCCCCCGAAACCTCATCAAGCTTCGTATCCGGGGCTGTCTGTGGCATTCATATCTCAGATTGTAGAGCAAAGAAGCATACGTCACCGCTTCCCGTCACCACCGCGGAACGTCCCACTGAGTTTATCCCACAGCGTCTCCTCGCCTCTCTCCTTCCGCTCCTGCCTCTCCTGTTCCTGCTTTTTCCACAGTTCCTGGACCCGCGACGCGACCTCGGCCTTTGCGCGCAGCTCCGCCCTGTAAGCTTCCTCTTCCGCGGCCTGGTCCTCCTCGGCGACCTTTTTTAACCGCTCCTTCAGTATCGACCGTTGTTCCTGCGTCAGTTCTTCTTCTTGCGGCTGCTGCTTCTGCTGGTCCGCTGCTACGGACGCTCTCGGTAGCAACGGTGGGAATTTCGGTATCGGGCGGCCTTCTTTCTTCGCCGCGGCGATCTCGGCTTCTTGCGATAGCATGCGCTGGTACAGTGTGTCGGCGTGCAGTTGGATGTCTTCTTCGACGTCGGGGGAGCGGTCGTAGGTCGATAGGTAGCCTAGGGCTTTTAATAATCTCTGTGTCATAGCGAATAAGTACATCTCTTCCGAGTACATCGTAGAGAAACAGGAATATATTGAACCCACAGTCTGCATCATGTAGCACCTCTCAAACTTCTTGACCTGCTCGCGACACATGGTCATGCGCTCCGAGAAGGACGGGTTCATCATGCACTGGCGCCAGTCGAGCTGCTCGAGGGCGCAGTTCTCCAGCGCCGCCTTGCCGATCTGGTTCTTGCGCTCCTTGTAAGCCTCCAGCACGTCCATCAGCTTCTCGTGCTCGCTCTTGGTCTCGGCCTCGATCTCCGCCAGCGGCCGGTACGTCTTCCACAGATGCGCATACCGCCCGTCCTGGAATTGGCTCTCCCTCGGCACGACTGGTCTCTCCGGCTGCCCCTCTGCGGCTTCTGCTTTGGCCGCGCTCGCTCGCTTCTCTTCTTTCGCGGGGTCCTGCTGCTGCTGCGCGGCGCTGTACTTCACGGGAGACTCCCGCTCGAGGAATTCGCGGAGTTTGGGATCGAGCTTGCGCAGCGGGTCATCGCCGCTCGAACTCGACCAGAGACTATCCCACCAGCCCATGACGACGAATCGCGAAGTCTAGGAGAAGTTAATTGTCAGTTGGCTCCGTAGAGCTCTTCCCAGTCACATTGCATTTGGGGGGGAAACTTGCTGGTGCGTAATGCCAAAAAGTTCGTTATCGTTATCGGACGTCGATATGCATTTAACCATTTGAGTTCAGTTATTAACACTTTAATATCCGCATCGTTACGATAACTGCTAAGGATTGTTTACCTAAATAAGCTTGAATCAAGTGTTTTTATTTTTTATACTTTATGCGAAGAAGATCGTAGTCTAAGATAGCTGAGGTAAGCCTATGTATACGAAGGGCTTCTTCCCTTAGCTACCTAGGTTTATAGTTTCTTGCGGAATAATGTTACATTTCCCTTCCTGCTAGGTCGACCTTGTGATAATAGATTGGTTAAGTTGCTAGACCTGGCGGTGGTGTGACGAGCAATGAGATTCGCTGAAACGAAATGGAAATTGTGGTTAAACGCTGTCTACTTTCCAAAGATTAGGATTTTAACAGTCGATTCTGACTGGATAGTCTAGATCGGGTCGGGAGATCCTCACCATGGCTATTAGATAGGAATGAAGGCATCGCCTACTTGGGAGATGATCCCTCTGTTCATACTTAGATAAATTGAACTGGAATTCCCCCTATATAACACATTGTCAAACTATCTCGGTTGCTCTTTCGCCTATGTCGCAAGTAAATTCAAATGGCAATAATCATCCTTATATAGAATAAGGCACTTGCTTCCAACATCCGGGGCCCAGAACTTAATCTGGCTAGGTCATGGCACCATCTACCAAAGAGTCATGCTGGAGCACTTCACGGAAGACGGCGTGAGATATAGAGTCTTGTTCTACCTGTAAGCTGACGGCCTATGGAAGCTCCGGCCATGTTGAAGGCTAAGAAATCTGTTGAAGCTCACTTTGCATGAGGAATTCGAGTGTTCAGGGGTATGTCAAGAGAAGGTAGCCTTTCTTTGATCATTAACGTCCACCCATTAGCTATAAGCTACCGTTACAAGGAGCGGCCCTTAAGTTATTACAAGCGAAGACGAACACGAAACCAGAAGTTGAAGGCTACGACGACTCAGCTACGCGCTAGGGAGAGAGCTGCCAGGTCTTGAATTGGGAAACCTCAGTCTGACATCTAAGTAGCCAGATATATATTTTCTTCAAGAGTAATCGTAAGTCTTCCGAATCCTGAATTCGATGTTGTGTAGATATTTTCCCAGTTGACGGTGCGAGATACGATGGTTTTCTTTCAATGATATGCCAATAGACAAGTTCCCCAGCAGGGGTCAGAAGTTCGGTTGGGGTTCTGGAAACACAAAAGTACATGACTCTGTTCGGAATTTGGAATCAGCATAGCAAGCGAAACTAAGGCCGTCGCTTGAGTCAAGTATGTGTAGGCGTGCATCACAGCTTTTGCTTGTAGACTCGTTTCGGTTTAGGTCCTAAGAACTGATAAATCATCGACCAAATCGTCACTAGATAGTTGGAGACGGCCGACACTTGGGGGTGTCTAACAGAAGCTCGGGCTTCAGGAGAATTCGCGATGAATCATGCATACTCTGCTCCAAACACCTGGAATCTTGGCATACGAAGCAGTTTGTGGCCTAGGCAAATCATGCTGTCCACCTGGAAGCTTGCTCGTCGCAAGCTGACTCTGTAAATCCAGTCACACCATGGCGGGAAGAATATAAAATCTGGTATATCCTTTTTATTTCTCAGAACTGCCGATGCTGCATCTATGTGCCCTGGCAGAAAGCCTATGAATCACCCGTTCCGAATCTGAGATCATGAAGAACCATGAAGTAACAACGCCGTCGATGCCCAGGAAAGATCCCCAACTTAGAACTTGCTGAACTTCTTCACCGCCTTGCCGGTTCGGGGAAGTACACGAAGGACGTTGAATCGGACCTGTCACGTCGTACAAGTTAGTAATGCGTCTTATCTTAGAATCATTTCATGCAACGGCGTAGCATGCGGGGGACTCGTAGGCAATTCAAAGGAGAACGTACAGTCTTGCTCAGAGGTCGGCACTGGCCGACTGTAACCTGATCACCCTCCTCAACACGGAAAGCCGGCGAGACGTGCGCGGCCAGGTTCTTGTGTCGCTTCTCGTATCGGGCGTACTTGGGGATGAACTTGAGGTACTCGCGTCGGATGATGACGGTTCGGTGCATCTTGGTGGAGACGACGGTGCCGGTCAGGATACGGCCACGGATGGAGACGAGACCGGTGAAAGGGCACTTCTTGTCTGTGTTGACACCGGAGTTAGCTTCGCAGTTCCCATCTCTCGTAGAATCCGACATTCAGATTGCGGGTTCCGACTGTTCCAGTGCGACTGTCCACTTGATGTTGCAATTCAATTATCAAGCCATGAAACGCCCCGAAATCTTTGCTATCCAACTTCGCGCGTTCACGTACCAATGTAGCTTCCCTCGATGGCGGTCTTGGGGGTTCGGAAGCCCAGACCGACGTCCTTGTACCATCGGCGGCCACCCTGAGTAGTAAAAGCATCAGCAAGAGCGTTCGTCAATCAAATTAGAAGACGGGGGGGGTCGCCTCACCTTGCCAGGTCGCGTGGACTTGGCCTTGACCTTGGAGTTCTGGAAGATATGGGGCTGCTTCTGGAAAGCACGCTCCGACTGAACAGTCAATTCCGTAGCCATGTTTGCGATGTTTTGTCGGAGTCGCAAATGTGGTAGGGATCCGGAATCGTGGTGTTGGTGGTGGTGGTGGTTGCGATGATGCGAAAAGATGCCCGAAATTGAAAATAGCCCTGGGTAAAATCTCAAAAACATTAGTTGTGTGGGCTCGCTTGTGGGAGGATCCACCCCAAGGTTCAGCCCCTTGTGGCTTTGATGCTACAATTGGTAGTGGGGTGTCCTGTGGCGCAGTGGCTAGTGACAGCCAGTTTGAAATGTAATAAAAGCATGGACCACTCTACACCTGGAAGGCAGGCAGACAAGGATCGAGCGCCGATGAGTAAGGATCTACGTAGTAACGACCCCACCTAAATTCAATGTTTACAAACAAGGGTCTCGTCGACGCGATAGCTTGAATCCACCTAACTGGAACACAAGGAAGTCGATGTCGGTTTGACGATACTTACCATTTTCAACCTCCACGCCAGACTTATACATACTAGGTGCTTCTTGCAACACATCCTCAAGAACAAGCCTACCACCGCGGCATTGTAATCATTGTATTCAGAATATTGGAGGTAGCTTCATGCGATAACGCCATTCACGTGTCACGACAACTCGGTACTACGCCCCCCTCAACTATGGGACATGGTTGCTTTGCGACACTTGAGAGAAATTGATCTTCATCTTTGTCGCCAACATGTCTAATCGCGCCGATTCAACGATGCCGTCCACGCGACGACCTAGAAAGTCGACCGGACACTCTCCCGTGCGTAAGAGGATGGAGAAAGAAAACATCACTGTGGACGTGGCTAGTTCTTTGGCCAGTAATGGAGGACGAAAGAAGTCCCGGAGCAAGAGTATGGGCCCTGGAGGGCTAGACGGTCTGAAGCCAGCATCCGGCAATAGACGTGTGGTAGATGATGACATTCCTGTCGCTG